CACAAGCCAGGCTGACGGCTGCCAGCATAGCGGTGGTGGTGGGCACCTCTCCCGCCTCCTCAGCAGCACTAAGGATGTCCGACTGCAGCTTAGGTCTGCTCCCTGCTTATAAATGGACATCCCCCGAGGGCTGCTGGGCTGGCAGAGGGATGTCTGACTGCCAGCTTGGGCCCAATCTCCCAGGGAGCGGGCCTACGCCAGCAGGTGGACATCCTCCGAGAGGTCCCAGACTGCAAGAGGGCATAGCCCGGGCTGAGGGACCCCCCCACACACACCGGGTGCACAAATTTTTGTACACTGGACCTCTAGTCATTTTGTAAAAATGAATAGGAAATCATAACACTGCTGAAACTAATGATAGGAAGCATGTTCTCAAACTTAATACCACGGAGACCATAGAAGAAATCTTAAAAATGACAGTCCTGGATGGTGTGCTCAGTGGCTATAGTGTCTGCTCCTGGACCAAAGGGACATGAGTTCGAAATCAGATCAAGGACACATAATGGGTTGCAGGTTCGATATCCGGTCCCCCCACTAGCTCCCCTCTCCCCCATCGCCTCCGGGAGCGTGCAGGAGGCAACCAATCAATGTGTCTCTCTCACATCAATGTTTCTCTCTCCCTCTCTCTCTCTCTCTCCCCCCCTCTCTCCACCCCCTCCCTTCTTCCCTTCCACTCTCTATAAAAATCAATGGAGCCTGCCCAGTGTGGTTCAATGGTTGAGCATTGACCTATAAACTAGGAGCTCACCATTCGATTCCTGGTCAGGGCACATGCCCAGGTTATGGGCTCAATTCCCAGTGTGGGGCATGTAGGAGGCTTCTCACCAGGGCCCAGGCCAGAGGCAACCAATCGATGTGTTTCTCTCACATCGATGTTTCTCTCTGTCTTTCCCTCTCTCTTCCACTCTCTCTAAAAATCAATGGAAAAATATCCTTTGGTGAGGATTGATTTTTTTAAAAATTATAAAAACTATAACTCACTGGTTTCAATTGATTAGGTAAAGTGGCTATATTCCATTGTGAGAGGGAAAATAATTAAAGGAGTTACACAAAATGACAGAACTACATGATCAGTGATCAATTCTAAACAGCAAAATACAACAGGATTTCATATCGTTGTTAGCTTTCAGAGATAGGCTCTACATTATAACATGTAATTTATTATTCAATTTTTGAACATTCAGCTTTGGTACATTTTCAAAAGCAGGTTATTATCTATGCGTGTGGCCTTCATTTCACTTGAAGGAAATACATTCAAATGTCTACTGCAGTTACCTCTGTGCAGTAGAATTATTGGTTATTGTTATTTTCTACCTTATATTGTCTGTGTTTTCCAAATTATCTAATAAATATGCACTAGCTCTGACACATGCATAGTAACGATGTTTAAAAAATTGTTACCAATGATCTTGATTGTCTTTTCTGGGTCTTTATAATTCAAGGCTCCTATGTTCTCTCTGCATAGTATACTAGCCTTCCGGGAGACCACAGAGCCTCAGACACCCACCTGAGTGCAGCAAGTTGGCACACTGCTTTTGACTCTCCTCTAGACTTCTGGACAATCTGTTAATCATCTCCGTCTTTTCTAATTTGGTTGCTTCTTGATTCCTTTCCAGTTGTTTCACCTTGTCTTTCAAATGACAGCAAATGTCTTCCTAAATAGAAAAAGTGTTCAAGAAGTCATTTTTATGATCCGTCATTAAGTATTAAACTATCAATGATCATTCATGATTGGGTTTTAAGTCAACTATAAAATCATCACATGGCAACATCACCTCCTCTACAAGGATAAATGCACAAGACTGGGAGTCAGGCGAACCAAGTCATGGGATCTTAGGTGAGTCATCAACTTCTCAGTCTGTTTTTTCCTTTTGGAATCACACTAACAAAGGTTGAATTCCATGATTTCTGAAGTGCCTTCTGCTCTACATTCACAAGACACTGCTGTTCTAGAAGTAGGTCCTATTCAGACCAAAGGAAAGGCAGTACATTCCTACTAGTATTTGCACTTTACACTGCCAGTGAAGTGTGTGCAGACACATTCAGGCATGCCACTCTGACTCTGAGCATGCCTACCCCAGGACAGCAAGGACACAGACAAACACACTCGACTCTGAGCATCCAAAAGCTCATTCAGTTCTGAGCACCTAAAAATAATCTTTCCCTCTTCTGAACTCCTTTTAAACTTGATCTGTTTCTCTCGCGTTTTTCCTTCTACCTTTTACATGTCTTATTTGTCTTCATAGTTTCCTTGCAGGTGCCTATGCAGTGCCTTACACATAGTATGTACTACAAAAAAAATAAAAAATAAAAAAATAAATGACAAAGAACAACAAATAGAATGAATGTGTGCACACATGTATGTGTGTAACTGTATGGGGATGTATAAATACAGAGCACATATACAATGTATTCAAGTTTCTTAAAAAAAAAATGTGTTTGTGTGTTTGGGAGTAGTGAGTCATGGGAGTGCCGAGCCCCTGTAGGAGAAATCATCACCTCTCATTCAAAAAGGACTTCACAGGCTGAATTCCAGGCCAAAGGAGCATGAGAAAGGCAGAGAGGTAAATTGGCTAAAGTTCCCTGGAAAAAAACCTGAAGAAATGAATAGAAAGAGGAAAATCAAGAAAGGGCTTTAAAGCAGAAAGCATTTGGGGCCTGATCCATAGGAAAACCTCAAGCCTAATAATGCCCTAAGGATACCACCCCAAAGCACACCTCAAAAGGATACAGACAGTGCCCCTGAGCAGAGGAAAGGGACTCTGAAGTCTCCTGTTTTGGCTTAACAATTCATGTGAACTTTGTGTTCGAGCTCATGATGTAGCCATGTTTGCTTTAAATTTTTTCTTCTGAATTTGTGGGCAAAATGGAGCTCCTGGAAACTGCCCGTGTTTATCCAACCCTGCCAGCCTCTTGGCCACGCTGCTGGTCCCCAGGCCAGCTGGGAAAGCAGGGCTCTCACGCACCGGAGTTCCACGCAAGCACAGTGAGTGCCCTAAAGTCAATGACAGCGTGAACGTGTGTGCAAGAAGGGGTGGGGAGACAACTAACGTTTATGAGCTGGGGAAGTCATCGAGATTTTACAAGAGACTGCAAACTGGTTTAAAAAAAAAAGTAGATATGAAAAACATTGTAAACAAAAGGCAGACTGTGGCGATGATTTACCTCCATGCATTAATCAATTAAATCACGCAGTTTCCTGTTGACAAGTTCAGGAAAACAGATTACACTCATAAACTGTGCAACTTAAACACCAAAAACAAACAAAACAAAATGAATGGCTCCATCTTTTCCATGATTAGCATGAGTGATGAGAACACTCAATTCAAGACAAAGACAGACATCTTTTAAAACTGAATGAGACAAGTGGAAGCAAATAAAATTGAACAGATTTCTATGGCATAGCCAAAATGAAGATTAGGAGACACACACACACACACACACACACACACACACACACACACGTCTGAGAGAGTCCCTCAGCCAATAGAATGAGTTTAAATTAAATATAATGTTAAAGCAAGGTAGGAAAGGGATCATGGGAAAATCATGACACAGAAATCAAAGTCCCTGACTTCACTGAAAGCTGAAGATTTCAAGACCAGAATGAAAAAAGGTTTTAGACCCTAAAGGAGATAGAGATTCCCCCCATGACACTTCCATGCATTAGAAATACAGAGGCAGGGTGGAGAGAATCTGGGAGACAGTTGGCCAGGAGCGAGTTCTGTCGCTGAAGAACACTCCGAGCTCCGAGCAGCTCGTCTGCTCTCATCTTCTCTGTCACACGGGAGGACCTAGAGAAACTCAGCCAGAGTAACAAGAACTGTTACAATGTGTTGTGAGTGTGTACAATCCTTCCTACCCAGAAAAGCTGGTGGCTAAAAGACAACACTAAAGTCATATTATAATTTCACAAGCCATATATTTCTCAAAATATACTAGTTACAGAGACATTTTTAAAAAGCCCAGCTGTACCACAGAGAGCTAAGTTAGGCAATCGCCGTGTTGAATTTTGTCTTTCAAAATATACTTAAATATACATCAAGCTAGTTTACATCCTGATGTTTAGCTGTTGTTCAATAAGGGTTTGCTCAACAGGTGAAATAATGCAATTAATCTACAACTGCAGTTGCTTCCCAGCAAGAATGTGTTTTTCATAAAGCGGTGATTTTCAACCTTTCAATCTGAAGAAGCTCCCTGGTCTTCTAAAAAAACACTGCAGATGCTCACACCCAAAGGAAACTCCTCCGCTGTTTCAGAGGATCCATCCATCTCCGGGGGCCTGGTCCCGACTGCCTTAGAGGATGCCAGGGTAAGAATCGCTCTAACCAGGAACACTTACTCCACGTGAGCATCTGCTCTGTCAACACTGTGCACATCAAACACATAGTACATGGCACACAGTCATAACTACATGAGAGCCGCTCGGAACCCAGACACCGGCGAACGTATTCATTTACTGAATTACCCAGCTATTTGTTCCTTGCTACCTACTTTCTAAGACTTGTTTTACCTTTCTTTTCAATCTGCTGAACAGAGTGTAGCAGATAAGTGTTCACCCAAAAGGGAAATAACATGCAGCTCCCTCTGTAATAACCCTTATGAAGAAAAAGCAGGCAAGGGGTAAAATGCAGTATGTACGTATGGCTACCGGTTATGTGAGAAAATCTACATCGACCCTCTCCGTGTGGAAGAGACTCAATGCATTTTCAAATGACAGACAGGCATCTCCCTCGCTCCTGGTGGATTTTTACAGCACCTCTACAGTCAGGAGTCTCAATTTCGATTCTGGAATTATATAGACTGACCTTTCATTGAAAACACTACTGAGGCTACTGACAACAAAGGGAGAGCACAAAAGGGCACCATCATGAAACACTCCCAGGAAGAAACAACGATAAGCACTTTGGCATCGGCACTTTGCAAAGCAGTTGTGCAATTATACACAGAGGCCTATACCCGTGCTGTGCTACGCGATGCTATTTAAGAACAACAACAAAACAGTCACAGAATGTAACGGCAGAAAAAAGGCCTTAATCAGCACCTTCAGTGTCTGGTTCAGGGGTCCGGAGCCCATTCAGCACAGAGTCAAGACTTTGTTCTCTGCTCCAGACGGGGGCAGAGAATCGAGAATGGATGGGGCTCAGGAGCTGAACACACAGGAGTTCTCCCAGCCCTCCCTGTAACTGTGTCTAAGGCAGCAGAGAATGGAGACACCTCAAGTAACCCAGGATGCAAAAGCCGCCAGACTCCACTCCTCTCATCATCCAAGGAGGACCATTCTCCACGTCTGACTTTAATGTTATTCCCCACACACAACAAAGTTAATAAAACTGTATTTCAAATTCCATTTGTCTATATATTATATAAAGTAAATTCTCAATAATTTTACCTAACCTTTGTCTTTCCCCACCCCTGTATATGCTCCACACTGGTCAAATTCCTAATAAGTTTCTCTATAAAAAGAATAAAAACATATTTAGGAAAATGAACATAAATAAAAACTCATATAAATGTACATTAAAATAAAATAAAATGGTATACAAACAATTATTATTGCCAATAATGAATCTTATATAGCTCTATCTAAATAATGGAAAATTTTAGAGTCAGCTGTATAAATAAGAAATAAGAACCCAAATCAGAATAAATTTTAAGTGTAGTGGAATTTTCCATACACTCACATCTTATTTTTCTTCTTCTCTTCCTTTGGGTTAAATTAGTTCTGAAACTGCATTAAGGAAAATGCACTTTGAAATTTTATTCACTGAAACGATTTACCTGGAGTTTTGGAGCACACGCAAACCCCCACCTGACTCACCATCAGCTTACAACATCCTACTCCCTTTGGGGCAACAGTAATAAAAACTGTGAAATGTGCTCAAGTCTCAAACCTCAATAATTTTAGATCAGACTCCCCTCGTTTACTATGCTAGTCTCAAAATGAACTCTTCTCTCAAGAACCATTTCTAGACAGTCTTAATGATGGGCTTCTTACCAAATGCTGGGAGACCCAAGAAAGGTGTTCTAGTGGTTAAGCTCCCAGGACCAGCCCTCAAGCCATCTCCCAGAACACTCATTCCTTCCAGTCTGGGTTTATTCCAGGACAGTATGTATAAACTAGAGGCCCGGTGTACGAATTCATGCACCAGTGGGGTCCCTCAGCCTGGCCTGTGGGATTGGGCCGAAACTGGCTCTATGACATCCCCCGAGGGGTCCCAGATTGTGAGACGGCATAGGCCAGGCAGAGGGACCCCACTGGTGCACGATCAGGGCCGGGGAGGGACACCGGAGGTTGGCTAGCCAGGGAGGGACTGCGGGAGGGCTCTAGGGTGTGTCCGGCTCAGTCCCGATCAGGCAGACCCCAGCAACAAGCTAACCTACCAGTCGGAGCATCTGCCCCCTGGTGGTCGGTGAACATCATAGCGAGTGGTTGAGCAGCCTTAGCATATCATTAGCATATTACACTTTGATTGCTTGAACGGCCGACCTGACAACTGGACAATTAGCATATTAGGCTTTTATTATCTAGGATACCCTACAAGTAAACAACTAGCACTGTGAGAATCCATCCTACCACAGGAAGGGTTTCCAAAAATCATGCCTGCCTTAGGGAGTATGCATAAATAAAAAATCTTTGTCTTTATATTTTTACTTACAATAAAAAACCTACCGCAAACATCCAAAATTTCTATATGAAGAACCACAAAATGTCAGTTACAAGACAGAACGGCTTTGCTTATTGACAACAGTGGCTCATTTGAAATCATCCCAACCTGTTCCTTAAGGGCAGCCACCGTAGCATCCAACTTGTTTTGTAAGGACAGCACTTGCTCCTCATACTTGTTGGTGAGGCCCGCCACGACGGTCTCGTGCTGCTCCCGGGTGCGCTGCAGGGACTCGGAGTGATGCAGGTCCAGCAGCTGCTGCTTCAGGCTTTCCAGGGCCATTTCCGTCGTCCTGGACTTCTTAATCATCTAGCAGACACACGACAGCCCCATTTATTGTATGTGGCTCTGTGCTCTCTTTATAAACATTAACTCCCAAAATCAACCATGCTTTAATGACAGTAGAGAAGGGTCTCCCCATAGTGGTTCTGGTTCCTTAAGGCTTCCCTGTCTGGGACCCACCAGGCCCATAGGGGCTGCAAACATTATTCACTGAGAAGAAAGAAAAAAAACTGGAATTACCCGAGATGACAATGTGGGTACCAGACAAGGAACCTGCGGCAACTATACGGTCCCAGTGCTGTTTGCAATGTTCTGTGAGCCAAGTGTGGGGGGCAATCCAATTGTCAGGTCAGAGAAAAATGACAACCGTTTCTTGAAAGACTGATGAAACTTGTCAATGGTCACTTACTAAAAACACGGTTTTGAAAGCTATAATTGTACAGTTACAAAATACTGGTGTAGTTACTATACCAGTATTTTGTAACTGTACAATTATAGCTTTCAATACTGGCTCCCAAAATATGCCCATGTCCTAATTCCTGAAACTTGTGAATACCTTATGTTACATGGCAAGAGAAAATTGAGGTTGCGGACTGAACTGAAGTTGTTAAACTGATGACTTTAAAATAAGGAGATTATCCCGGATTATCTGGGTGGGCCTAATGTATCCACAATGGTCCTTAAATGAGGAAAACTGAGGCAGAAAGGTCAGAACCAGTGACCGCTGGCTCTGAGGATGGAAAAGGGCCATACACCCTTTGCATGTAGCCTCTCAAGGCTAAAAAATGCAAGAAAATGGATTATCCCACTAATACCGTTTTAATTAGCTAGTTATTAAGAATACCAAAGAAGGAAAAGGGAGGCCAGAACATTATAGGCATGTCACTTGGGCAGCTTCACCAGGAAGCTGCAACTTCACACTCCCCAGGGAGCTGCTGGCCCATTCCCTGCAGATTACTAGGGGAAGGGACTGAACAAAGGGAGGATAGGCACGTGGGCAGTGAAGTTGGGGTGACCTAGGGAAGGTGCCCATCAGTCAAACCTGGGAACAGAAGTCACTGGACAAAGGAGGCAGGGCTACTGCAAGCCCGCAAACATTTGGGAATACATAATCCCCTAGACTAGTGGTCGGAAAACTGCGGCTCGGCAAACCGCGGCTCGCGAGCCACATGCGGCTCTCTGGCCCCTTCAGTGTGGCTCTTCCACAATATACCAACTTCTGCGCATGGGCCATGAAATTTCAATCACACAGTATGTGTGCGCCCGCACGTGGTATTTTGTGGAAGAGCCACACTCAAGGGCCAAAGAGCCACATGTGGCTCGCAAGCCACTGTTTGCCGACCACGGCCCTAGACAAAGGCGCTCTCTCTCTTGGCTCTTGGCTCTCTGGTCTCTTTGGCTTTGCTCCTGCCCATGTTCCCTCCATAGCCATGTGGCCCTCGGGACCCCACACGCAGTGGACTGCTGGGCTGCAGCTGGGAACACAAACTAAGCTGGTTTAATGCTGGACTGGACACTGTTCCAACATGGGATGAAAACTCTGGGCAACGGCTTTCATTCTAGCCCTTCTGACGTCACAGCTACACTTCTTCTATGATGGGCCAGAGGGAAATGGGACCTTGGAAACTCAGGGGGGTAACCCCACAGAAATAAAGCTTTTTACAATGTCTCAGCTTCCCATGGGGACCTCTGGAAATTCTTATTCCAGTGGCACCCCAAGAAGCCCACTTCCCCCAGCAACTGGTGGGGATGAGGGGATCTCCCTACCACTAACACTATAGAGCTTCCAAAAAGCAACACAGCCCTATTGAGACCTTAATTTTAGCCCAGTGAGACCCATGCCAGACGTCGGACCTCTGGAACTCTAAGATAATAATTTGTGTTGTTTTAAACCACTAAGTTTTTGGTATTCTGTTATAGCAGCAATAGGAAACCAAAACACCTGGTGATTCTGTTAGTTTTTTTTAATTTTATTCTTTTATTTATGCTACTTTATTTCTGATAAATGCAATTTCTAATTCAGAAGATTACAAAGTTATAACCTTTTACTACATAAAAAGAAATTCAACTTTTTAATCTAATAACTTTATCAGTTTTCAAAACTTTTTAAATACAAATAATCTACTGCAATATTGTGATTTCTAAGAAATATATATTTGGTCATTCAAATGACCAATGTATTTGGTCCTCATCTGCAATCCCTGGCTCAGAGCTCCCAAAACCTTGGCATTTCCTAAGTATTGAGAGTGATAAAATGTCTCTTGTTGCGTGAATGAGGTTGACTTTTCACCTGAGGATCGGGGCTGGTTGTGTTGGAATTTTCAGTCCCATCCCCTGACCTCCAAAGTGGGTAGAGGAGCTAGAGGTTGAATTAATCGTAGGTGTCTGATTTTAATCAACCACGCGAGGCAATGAAGTCTCCATAAAAACCCAATCAGACAGGGTTCTCAGAGCTTCTGAGGTGGTGGACATGTGGAGATGCAGGGAGAGTCAAGAGGGCACGAAAGCTCCACATCCTTTTCCCATACCCTACTCCATGCCTCTCTTCCCCTAGCTATTCCTGAGTTATATCCTTTTATAAAAAACCAACTAGAGGCCCGGTGCACAAAAATTCGTGCACTCAAAGGGGGGTGACGGGAAGAGACCCTCAGCCGGACCTGCACCCCCTTGCAGTCTGGGAGCCCTCGGGGGATATCCAACCAATGGCTTAGGCCCGCTCCCCAGAGATGTTTCTCTGAGTTCTGTGAGCCTCTCTAGAAAATTAATGGGACCCAACGAGGGGGTCGAGGGAACCACTGATTTACAGCCAGTCAGTCAGAAGTACAGGTAACAACCTCAGATTACAACTGGTGTCTAAAGTCGGTGAAGACAGTGTCAGAATTGATGAATTCCTGGACCTCCAGCTTGTGTCTGAGAATTGCTTGGTGTTGGTTTGGGGAGGAAAGCAGGGGAGACATGGAAAAAGAAAACCTGTGAGCAGGGACTTGGTAATCAAATAGCAGCGTGCCGTGGAAAGTTTTGTCCATGTACAAGCATCGAAAACAACAAACAGACTTGAGTGTGAGAGTAAGAGAAGAGACAGGCAAGGGAAAAACATAATCAGAACTGTACTTTAGAAAGATTAACCAGATGGCCATAAGAGAGAATTTGGAGAAGGGATAAAAGAATAGAGACTAGTAAGAGAATTTTGCAATAGATAAAATCCCAAATTGAGGACTTGTGAACAGAAATGAGGAGACTCAACAGAATGTAGCAGATGAAGGGGAACAGAGAAGCTGGGGTTTCTTCCTGATGTCTGATGTGCAGATGGCTGGGTGGAGGGGAGCACCATGCCTCCGAAGTAAGGAAAAGAATAGCAGGCTTGCGGTGGAAGAAAGTATGAACTTCAAAGTTCTTCTAAATGTAGTCCTACCATACCAAAAGTTAAGTGACTAAATTTTTCATAAATAGTTAAAATGTTTACCTGTTCTTCCTTGACTTTTAATGCTTGTATTTGGGTCTCCAGCGCTTTGATTTGTGCTTCAAGCTGTATCTCTCTTTCTTTTCCATTCTGAAAGAGTTTCTGTGATTCTCGAAGGCTGAGGGCCAAACCATCCTTTTCATCTAGGACATTAAAAATGTTTATAGGAATAATATGTTACTGTAAAGGGACTCCAATTGTCACAATCTCTATCAAATATCAGGTCTATATCACATATAAAAGTTGTTGCATTCAATTTAATTCAGATAACAAATCAGCTAAAGCTGATTTAGAGAAAAACAGAAAAGCTCCAAAAATGAATGCCTGAGTGACACCAAAAAAATTTAGAGAACCAGAACCTCTTCCTTCAAAAATCTGATTGTATCCCTTTGGGGACCAAAAGATTTCCTAACAATGACTTCAGCATCTATTTATTTGAGAAGCTACACAGATATGACAAAACCGTTAATCAGAAAAGAAATCTGAGGGCCCAGCCAGCATGGCTTAGTGGTTGAGCTTCGACCTATAAACCAGGAGGTCATGGTTCGATTCCTGGTCAGGTTTTGGACTCGATCCCCAGTGTGGGGCATGCACGAGGCAGCCTATCAATGATTCTCTCTCATCACTGATATTTCTCTCTCTCTCTCCCTTCCTCTCGGAAATTAATAAAAATATGTATATTTTTAAAAAGGAATCTGAAGACTAATTACGTTCTATACATACTTGCAATGAACTCTTAAATTCACCTAACCTTAAATTCTTCCCCCATACTTTATATGATAGCCTACAAATTCTTCTCTCAACATAAAATGTATGATCACTACAGAAAGATGACTTTATCACTATCAATTAAGTTTGAAATGAGCTGGAGTGCAGTCACAAAATTATTCTATAAATGAAACGTTCAACATGGACCGAAACTACAGAAAGCACGAAGAGTAAGCAATTAGAGTTTGAATCTGTATTTACTCTGTGTGCTTTTCCCAGGTGTGGCTCCATGTTCTCCTTGGCACGCCTGCAGGAGTTCAGGGTCACTGTCTCTTCCTTGGATTAAAACAGTGGTTTCTCAACCTTGGCTGCACATTAGAATCACCTGGGAATCTTTTTAAAATCCTGATTTCTGGGCCTCATCCTCCAGAAATTCTGTTTCTTTGTTATGGGGTGAGGCCACAACATTAGTAACAAAGAAACAGAATTTCCAGAGGATGAGGCCCAGAAATCAGGATTTTAAAAAGATTCCCAGGTGATTCTAATGTGCAGCCAAGGTTGAGAACCACTGGATTAAATCAGGATGCTAATTTATAGGCTCAGAAAATATCTTGCCAACTAATCCCAAGTCTCACTGGGTATTGTAACACTTCATCCAAGATAAATTCCTCAACCAATTTTCAGGACAGGATGCCATCCGCATAGTTAAATAATGTTCACTTATTCTAACAGCCTAACAGACAGAAGAGGAGGAAGAAGCAGGGGGAAATGAGGACCTCAAAGCAGTCTGCTCCGGAGAGAAGTCATCCAAAGAAAGGTGTCACAGGCCTGGGTTCTGTTTCCTTCGGACCGACTCACTATGATCCCTCTGACCAAATACGTCAGCTCGCTGAGCTTCCTATTTAAAATGAGGATCTTGGAAACAAGATATCTAAGCTCCAGCACACCTCGTAAGTGACAGCTGTCATCTTACCTTGGATTATCAGAAGCTGGTGATTCAGATACCTGATCTGACGCTCACTTTCATTTAACTTTTCAACTAAATTGTCCAGTTGCCTCTCTTTTGCTTTGTTAAGAACCTGAAGTTGAATGATCTGCATATTTTCTGGAGAACCTGATTTGGAATGAAAGACAATTTATTAGATAAAAGCATACCAAAATATAAATCTGTGGTCATTTAGGGCAGCGTTTCCCCAAACTGTGGGTACTACTCATCGGAGTATCATGAAAACAATTCGGTGAACTGTGGCTAGCATTTCCTAAAGAAACAAAAAATACACATTATAATAGAACATCTCAGAGTCCATCATGTAGTACAAATGAGTACTATTTTGTGATTTTGTGGAACGTATGTTTTAGTTACATACACTTATTTACCTAGATAAGTATTGTAGACCCCATCACAATGTACAAAATGTACTTCTTACTGTGCTCACTGCCAGAAAAGTTTGAAATGTCACTAGTTTATAGAGTATAACCCTTCATCACTACCCTTTTGGCTAATTAAAAATAAATATATACGAAAATGTGCCAGGCTATGCAATTAACCTGAGAGGCACAGGGGAACACATGGCAGGCTGACGAGCTCTGTGACCAAAAGTAACCACACAGATGATCTGGTCACATCCAAACTGGGCAGGTCACAGTGGGCAGTCACGTCCCAGGCCTATGGCATCGTTGGTAGAGGTCAATCTTTACCTTAAGGAAACCCTGTCCATTGTTCTGATCCAGAACAATATGGCTTTGAAATAACAAAGTAATTTTCTTTTCCTACCCCTCGAAGTACAACTGCAGGCACCAGAGCACAAGACCATAGAACCCTACTGCTAGCTTGTTCTCCATTGGCCATCTCTATGTGCTGCAAATCTAATTAACTACCCCGTACCCTCCAGGTAAAAGTATGTGTTTCTCCATTTTGCCTCTTATCCAATGCTAGAGTTTTTCCTGCTATGCTTTCTCCCAGCCCCTTAACCTACCAGCACTGGATTTCATCCTCCTTCCTTATGTCTTCTCCTTTGATTCTAATGCATAAAATAAGCTGCAAAGCTGCCATTCTCGGAGCATCTGTTCCCCGGCAGTGCCGTCAGTTGGCTCAAATAAACTCATAAAAATTCTCCACAGGTTTGGACATATCTTACATTGACACCCTTACAATGGAATAGAGTTCTATGACCTCATAAAATTGAAAAATAAGTACATCAGCTTCTATAAAACCATTTTTTAAAAACATTTCTAGATAGCCTCCTCAAAATATCTATTATAAGCAGGAGTGGGGATTACATAGTATTCATGTCTATACTGGCACATAACTGTGAATTAATAACGTAATGAACAGATTAATAAAGGATTTCGAGGACTTCTTTCACAAATAATTAAAGTCACATTAGGGAGCACTTTAAAATGATTGGGGGGTGGGGGAGATTCACAGGAAAATAATGCTAAAACTACATAATGACAAATGCATTTTCTACTAGACCACTGCTCCCACTTGCTAGCAAACAAAGTAGGCCTCTTTTTAAAAAGAGATATGGTTAAACCCACTCCCCCCCCCCCAAAAAAAAAAAAAAAACAACAACAAAAAACTGAAGACTGAAAACTTTGTTAGGAGTTAAATTTCTCTCCGGCCTTAGAGGGGGGCTAGCCCAGGGGTAAACACAGTGTACAAGCCACACCTCTCTCCAAGGTCATCTTTTTAAACTACTGTTTCTAAGAAGCCACAGTCACTAAATCTGGCACTGCCATTAAGTTACTCAGTTAACCTCCAACCATCAAATTTAGGCACATGTGTAACTGATGTAAACAAAAAATAAATCAACTTGACAAAATGCAGATTAAGAAAATGATAAAAGGTTATATATACAGAACAACCAACTGACCATGGGAACTGAAGGCGTCTACACCTCAGGCCCCTGTGGTGGGGCTAATGGACACATCCCCAAACCAGTTCTGCCACTCACTGTCCACTTCCGCATCTCTTCAGGCCACGCCACAGTGGCATAAACAAAGAGGGGCCACCCCCATGTTTGCTTTGACTCCTCGAGAGCCTGTGAGTCTGGAGCCTGAGCCTATGTGGAGCTAGAGCCTGAAGGCCAGCTTTCTCTTTGGCCGTAGCCCAGGAAACCTACAATATCCAGCGTGACTCCCTCCCCCTACCAGCCCATTTCTTAAATGTAAGGCAAACAAACAAAAAACTGGCTGTCACACCCTAGAATCACTATGGTTCTTCAACATGCACAACAATTAGCTTTTTCACATGCCCGAGAGTAGACAATGCAAGTTGAATGTATGACAACACTAATTCAGGTCAGTCTAAGTAAACGTTTTGATTTTTGGTTTTGGGTATTTTATCTCCTCAAAATGCTCTCATAGCTACTTTTCTCATTTTCATAGTTATACATATACAATCCAAAAAATAATGTTGGTAAGTGCCACAGGACTAAACCTGAGATAGGAGTCCAGTTTCAATTCTGAACATAAAGTAATTTATATCAGAGTTGTCTAATTATCACATTAAAATTCTAAAAATCAAAAGGAAAAATTAAGATGATAATAGCTGATTTACTACATGACATTTCTATACAACAAAAAATCTAGAATAAAGGGAAAACTATATTTCTCTTTCCAAACTAGACTTCAGTTAGAAAACTATAAAACTAATGAAAAATCTGAACCAATTACAATGACTCAAATGTAAAATTGAGAAAATTTTATTTTTGTTTTTATTATGGAAAACTTCAAATATATAAGAAGGTAGAAAAAAAGAGCACAAAGAATCCCATCACCATATTATTTGAAGTAAATCCTAGACTTCATATCTGTTTATCCATAAATACTTCAGCTATATCACCAACAATAAGGGCTCTTTTTAAAAACCAACCACAATTCAATCACTATATTTAAAAAAAGAAATAATTCTTGAACACACATAACATGTTTAACATTCTCCAATCATTAAAAAATATAAACCCGAGACATACTTTCATTAGCTCCTAAGAATTGTTGTTGCAGGCCTTCAAATGTGTCACCTCCTGCTATCTCCTGGGCTGGTGAGTCACCGTGCTGAGCAGGAGGCTGGTAAGGTTTATATACCACTGTATACGGTTCCAACACTTGACAACTGGGAGCTTGTGACGCACCGAATTGCTACGATAAGATGATAAGTGACATTGACAATTAGGATTTGGCCTTTTCCTCAAAAATTACCCGAATCACCTTAATTTTGTTACAAAACTTAATGGTGGTACAATTAAAATTTTATACAGACATCTTTGCTTTAAAATAACTTATTGTTATTTAACACTGAAAGTCTATGAAATATAATTTCTCACGTCTTAATTGGACTTTTGAGCTTATAACAGGCCAATCCCATAAATAACACAGGAGAATTCTAACAAAACTGCCAAGAAATATTTAAGAATGATTTAGATGATGCCAACATCCTGGGAACACAGAAATACACATATCCAACAACATGTAATACAATGCTTCATATGTAATAGATGTTCAATAACTTTTGTGGAATGAATACTATTCTACAGAGACAGAAGAGAAAATGACACTTTAAAAGAAAAAAAAAATCATCCTGTCATTGGGGGACACAGAATAGATACTGGCAAAATGAGGCATTCATATTCATTAAGAAAGTCTAAGAAACAGCTAACTATATCCTAAGGTGCTACTTCATTAAACTCTGACAGGGTTAAGTAAAACAAAATAAAAAAATAATTTTCCTTCACATTCATCCCATTTACTGCCATTATTATCACAAAACAGGTATCAGCTTTGAAGTGTTTGAACTAAAATGTGTTATAAGTGTGGTCACGATAATTAAATAAATAGGTTTACTGCTTTAAAACTGTATCAGCTTTGGCCAGGTAGCTCAGTTGGTTAGCGCATCATCCCTATATGACAAGGTTGTGGGTTCAATCCCAGGTCAGGGCACACACAAGAATCAACCAATAAATGCATAAATAAGTTGAATAACAAACTGATGTCTTTCTCCGTTCCTCTCTCTAAAATCAATATATTAAAAAAAATAAAAAGCTATATCAAGATATCTGAACACAGCTTCTCACTAAAGCATAGTGAAGTGGTAGAAGCCTGAAACAGCAGTAAATGAGGACTATTATTCTTTGACAAGCTTAATTCTTAATGTTTAATTAACTGTCTCCATAAAGCCTCTATGATATTTTAAAATTCTGAATTAAGATCATGATTTCGTTAGATTGTAAACAGAAACCAGCATGACTAATTCAGCATGAGCCTGAATAAATGCACTCTCAAAATCGTTTATACTTGTAAATCTTATCCTTGTACTTATATACATTCCTTAAACAGACACGTGTGTGGGCACATTTAAGCAAATTCTTAAAAGTCAAGTTCTTATAATACCTGAAAATGATTCCTTTGAGGATCTGAAAATTTAATTACATTGGCTGGCTGATTATTAAATTCCTGCTTCTGACCATTGGTAAATGGCCTAAAGTCTTCAGGAAGGTGATATAAATCAGTCTGCTCATATTTACTCGGAGGACTGTAACCCCTTCCGCCTTCATCTCCACCTTCTTCGGGATGGTACCCAGGATGCTGCTCTTCACTCTTACTTGGATTCTCTTCCCAGCCATTGCCGATTTTCTCTCCCATATATGTATCCCGAATCTCATTATAGTCCTATTAGATAACAAGAGTAAGACAAAAGCACTAAGATCTAGTCCCACCCTCATCAAAATCATTATCACACCAGATACTCACGTTTGCACTTTTAGATCTAGGCAGCACCTGATGGTCATTCCAGTTCACCTCCAATTGCTCAGAACGATGAGGTCTTGAAAAAAATCGACACTTTAGATTTAGAGCTTATCATTTTTTTGGACGCAGCTATCACAAAGAACCCCAAGATTTTAATATGTTTTCCCTCCAACCTTTACCTACAAGCTTAAGAATTAGTCCACAATTTTATAATCACATACATTGCTATAAGCTGCAGAGAATCAAAAGATGGACACTCACAGAATGCAATACACATATGAAGATGATTCGCGCCCTTACCGTCTCTCTGTGTCGTCCTCACTGCAGTCCGAGGAGTGGAGCTCGGGGGAGGACAGGTCGTCATCCAGCATATCATGGGGCAGGTCTGTGAGTAACTGCTGCAACTGAGACAGGAGAGTCGGCGTCAATAGCACACTGACTTAGATCAAAATGCCAAACCAAAGCTACCCTGGACCAAGTAATCAACTGCAGAAGTCAAAGACATTCCTAATTTCTACATTTAATAATGTCACCAATTCCTCACCAATTACTTTCACCATTTCACCTTGGGAAAGGGGAATAGATCAGTTCAGGATTTATATTAGAAGGCTTTATTTTTTTCTACAAAGGTTTTGGATTTTCACACACATAACATTGCATTAGAACTTTAAAACTTCTTTCTGGAAACACAGCACGTCGTAATAAGGGTACAATCACTATTAGGTTACCGCAGGGTAGATGTGAGTCTCAGAATCCTATTCTACCAGAAACCAGGCTTGGGGACTTGATAACCAGACTTCCTGCAGGAAATCTGAACTGCCAGACTGGCTTCGCCCAGGTGGTGAGAACAGCAGAAAAAGAAGCAGGTGGCCTAGAAGCCCTATTAATCCCTCTAAAAACGTGACAAAAACCTCCTAGGGAGTGATTCATTAGTAGACAGCCATCTAATCCCAATGATGAAAAGATATGCAATATTCCGCTGTTGTAAAACATTTGAGTAAAAAGAGATGTAAGATTCAGGTTTCTACAGGTTGCACTCTCAAAAGCATAACTCGAAAACTAACAATAAAAGCATCTGACTTTGATCTCCAATTTTTTTTTCTAGAAAACTCTTATCTTTAGCATTCTCACTATAAAAACTAGATATAGAATAAATTCATTTAAGTTTCCAGATAAACTGTGATAAAGAGATGAATGGTCTAATCTGTTGAATTTTAATATCTATCAGTAAATGTTTTTCCCTCAAATCCCAATACATTATCAAATCCCAAAGTAACTGTAACAGATTCAAATACTATATTACTAAATAGTTAAAAGACTGTTTATGATGCCTTCTCTTTCAAATTAAGCACCAGTTAAATAAATAAGTTGACTGAGGCCCACCACAGTACATAAATCAATCCCATAAAATTATGCAATGAGTAAAATTTAAAGATATTAAATACTCTGTGTAAAACCCTGGGGGAAGAAAATGAAACATTTCTTAGCCTATGACAGATTTTCCCAACTTTATCATTATAATAAAAAATAAAGTGTAGTTATAAAACATATCTGAGAATTACATTTATAATAAAAAAACTTTCATAAACTAAATACATATGGTAAAAGTTAAATAAAAATATTTTAAGAAAGGTCTGAAAGGTATGCTCCAATTGTTAAGTTCGTTTTGGTGAAATCAAACTTGGGAATGGAAAATAGGTGTGTGCGGTGGGAAGGGAGGTATACTTCCTCACTCCCTTATATATTTCTAATATTCACTGGATAGCTTTTTTAAAAAAAGATTTTCTCAATTCATTTGGTTCTTTACAAATATTCTTCTATTAGAGAAAAATATTCTATTCAATGACAAGTTATCTTCATTTGAAAATTTATTTGACACTAATATAAATAAGGCAGGCCTTGACTGATTGGCCACCTGCCCATGCAAGGTTACTGAAAAATCATTTTCAGAGTCAGCCATCTCAGAGCTGATCCAAAGATATAAATAATAAAAAACACAAAAGAGACAATACTAAAAACCAAACAGAACATATCAAAATGTTAGTATATTACATGTGAGCCTCAAGTGAAAAATAAAGTGATTTTACAAACACAAAACTTACTAAGAAGAAAAAAAAACACCTATGAAGTCTTTTTAAATAGTCTAACCTGTTAGGTCGATAATTATGTATCACTGCTGTAAGGAAAAAGACTATGCCCACACATTATACAGGGGAAAAATAACAAATAAATATTTTATACTTACATCAAGTAAGGACTCCTGTACAGAAAGAATACTGTCTTCTAAATCTTCAGTGAGGTTCAAGTACATAGCCTTATAATTCAGGGGAAGTTTGACAAGGACATCTGAACAGTACATTTTCCCCTCACAAAGATAGAAAAAACTACGCAATAATTAAGGAGCTCTTGTAACTTTCTTTGTGACACCACAGGTGTAACTGAAAAAGCATTAACAAAATTGGTATCTATGAAGAAAATTTAATTGAGTATAAAAAATAAGTTCTGAATGTTTCTGGATCAGTAAGTAAACTTATCAATCAGCAAAATCATCCCTGTAGTATTTAAAGCCTTATAAACTACTTTTTTTATATAAGCTAACATTTGAAATCGTTTCCTTCACCTTCAGAAACGTTCTCCATTAAAGTTCTTCGGCATAGCTGGGGCATATTCCCTTGACTTCCACAACTTTTAGGGCAGAGAGAAGCTAAATGAGGTGAGTCCTCATTCAGTTACAAAATCCCATCCCCAGGGCTTCCATTTTCCCAGGATCCAAGTGTACCCTTCTTCTTACCAGGTTGGCCCCAGGCCAGATACAGGCAGTGCCTGACCTTGGCTTGCATGAGAGCCCCACCCCAAGAGACCCCAGAACCAACACACCCCGTGGCCAGCTTCAGAGCACACCAGAGCACCACCCAATTACTGCCACAGATGACATACCCAAAGGGTGGACTCACTGGGCACCAGAACCCCACTAAAGCAAATCCACAACAGCTTGTCCACTACAATCACTGCCAGTCCTCACAGAGACAGCCTAAGCATCAATCCTATTCACTGATGTGCCAACAGCAATCAAGGCTCAACTACAACAGGAGGGCACACACAACTGACCCAGGGAAAATCCTGGAGCACCAAGCTCAGGTAAAGAGGGAGACTGCACCACTGCTACATAAGGCCACTCTGCCAAGACTGAGAGATGTAGTAGCTCTTCCTAATAAACATAAACCTAGAGAGACAGCCAAAATGAGACAAAAAGCATGTACCAAATAAAAGAACAGGTTTAGAAACCATGCAAGCAAAAAAAAAAAAAAAAAAAAAAAAAAAAAAATGGAGGCAAGCAATCTGCCAGATGCAGAGTTTAAAACACTGGTTATAAGGCTGCTCAATGAGCTTAGGGGAAGACTAAATGCTCTCAGTGAAAACTTTAACAAAGAGATAGGGAATAAAAAATAACCAGTCAGAAATGAAGAATAAAATAACTGAAATGAAGGCTACATTACTTGGAGTCAACATCAAATTACATGAAGCACAGGATCAATTCAGTGATTTGGAAGACTGGGTAGAAGAAAAGACTCAATTGAAACAAACAAACAAAAAAAAGGATTAAAAAAAAAGAGGATAGTTTAAGGAACCTCTTGGACAACATCAAGCATAACAACAATCACATTATGGGGGTACCAAAAGGAGAAGATATAGAGCTGGGGATTGAAAATCTATTTGAAGAAATAACAATGGAAAACTTCCCTAAGTTGGCAAAGGAAATTGACACACAAGTCCAGGAAGCAGAGAGAGTCACTAACAAGATGAACCTAAAGAGGCCCACACCCAGACATAGCATGATTTAAATCCCAAAGTTTAGAAACAAAGAGAGAATCTTAAAAGAGAAAAGTAGTTGTTACCTACAAGGAAGCTCCCATAAAACTGATTTCTCAACAGAAACTTTGCAGGCTAGAAGGGATTAGCATGAAATATTCAACGTGATGAAAAGCAAGGACTTAAACCAAGATTACTCTACCCAGCAAGGTTATCATTTAGAGATAAAGAACTTCCCAGACAAGAAAAGCCTGAAGGAATTTATCACTGCCAAACCAGTATTACAAGAATTGTTAAAGAGACTTCTTTAAGAAGAGAAAGAAAAAAATAAAAAATGTGAATAAGAAAATAATGCAGAAAAAAATTCTCACTGACCCTAATAAAAGCAGCAGATAAAAAGCAGTGGATCAACCACACTAAAGCTAGTACAAAGGTTAAAAGGCAAAAGTAGAAAGATCATGCATAATTACAACAGTAAATCAAGAGACATATACACACATATACACACCCACACAAAAGAAGTAAAAAATAATGACAAAAGCATAAACATGGAGGGAGTGAAAAAAAATGGTAGTGATTTTAGAATGTGTTCGAACTTAAGCAGACATCAACTTAAAATAGACTGCTATATACATATAGCATGGTATATATGCAGCACATTGTAACCACAAACCAAAAATCTACAAAAGATATACAAGAAATAAAGAGGAAGGAATTCAAAAACAACATTACAGAAAGTTATCAACATATAAGAGAAAAGAACAAGAGATTAAGAAATGAGCCAAGAGCTATAAAACCAATCAAAAAACAATTAATAAAATGGCAATAACTATATATCTATCAATAATTACTTTAAATGCAAATGAATTAAATACTCCAATCAAAGGATGAATGGATAAAGACATGGTACATATATACAATGGAATATTACTCTACCATAAAAGATAATATAATCTTACCATTTGCCAAAACATGAGGGTATTATGCTATGTGAAGTAAGTCAGACAAAGACAAATACCATATAATTTCACCTATATGTGGAATCTAAAGAACAAAATAAGAAAACAAAACAAAAACAAACTTACAGTTACAGAGAACAGACTGATGGCTGCCAGAGGGGAGAATGGTTGGGGGACTGGGTGAAAAGGGTAAAGGAATTAATAAGTACAAATTGGCCCAGTCAGCTTGGCTCAGTGATTAAGCGTTGACCTATGAACCAGGAGGTCATGGTTGCATTCCTGGTCAGGGCACATGCCTGGGTTTCGGGCTTGATCCCCAGTGTGGGGCATGCAGGAGGCAGCCGATCAATGATTCTCTCTCATTATTGATGTTTCTATCTCTCTCCTCCTCTCCCTTCCTCTCTGAAATCAATACAAATTTTTTTTTAAGTACAAATTTTTGGTTGTTACAAAATAGTCATGGGGATGTAAAGTACAGCGTGTGGAATATAGTCAATATTTACATATGCTGTCAGGTGGGTTTAAGACTTATGGGGGGGAATCACTTCATAAGTTATATAAATGTCTAATCACTAAGTTGTACAGCTGAAACCAATAAATAGTGAAAGTCAACTGTAATTGAAAAAACTGGAAAA